TACTGCCCCCCCGCCCACCCCCCACACACACTTTGCACCTTCCCTGCTCTGCCTGGCAAGCAAACAGGATAGAGAAGCAGTGTTGCACAGGAGCAGTGCTCAGGGGTTTCCTGCTGCTGGGGAAGATGTCACCTTTTTTTGCCATGGAAAACCAGTGTTTTTTGACTGTTTAGCACACATGTTGGGGGATGGCATCTCCCCCAACAGCTGGAAACCTCTGGTCCATGCGCCTACGTAGGTGCCCCTGCCGCTGCTCCAGAGCCAGACCTGGAGCAGGGAAGGTGCAGGATGAGTGAGGGACTGAAGGGGAGATGGGTCGTTGAGGTGCCTCTATATCCCCATTCCCAGTGCACAGTATTGGCCAGTTATGCCTCTTCCTTAAGTGCTGTGGGGCTCTCAGGTAGACACTCTTGTCACTGAACTACACTGACACTTCCAGTGGGAAAAAAAGTCTCACTGCCCTTTCTCATTTTTGATAACTTTCCCCCTTTTCCATTCACCGAAAATTCTGACCAAGTGTTTTCTCTAGCAATCTTCCAGCACATCTTGTAGTCCCTTTAGTCCCTTGGTCAAATTCCTTAAATTCTCTGTGCTTCAGTTCCCTTTCCCTAAACTGTACTTCTTTTCTAAACTGTACTGGGGATAACAGTACTTCTTTTCTCCCAGACTTTTTTCATCTTGCCTGACTGGAGCTGGATCCTGGAAAGCAATGTAGTTGGGCAAGGCCCTTCTCTAACTTTAACTGTACTTGCTCATAGTGAGTTGCAGAATCAGGACCTTGGACTATATACCAATGGTCCACCAGCTTTGCTGGCCCATGGCAACAACACTAAGCAAGTAATGCCCCATGGACAGCATCAGCCTTTGCTCTCCTGCCAACTTGCAGATATACATATCTGTGAGAAGTCAAGTCTTCTGCAGGCATGAGTGGCATTAACCATAAGGCTGGGGCTGGGGACAACTGAGCCATGCTTTTGAGGCAGGGACATGCTCTTTCTCTCTCAATGTGCAGTTACAAGCAAAACGATCTTGGTTGGAACCTTTAGGCAGCAATGTAATGTTAACAAATATTATTGTTAATATTGTTTCTAATTGTCCTGATGGTGAGGGTTCACATATTAGTATTTTCTCCAGAACCCCTCCTTCTAATGCAGTAGTTTCAACCTTTTTAGACTCGAGGCACCCCTCATTAGACTCAGCGCGTTGCTCAAAAAATGCCAGCTCTTATTTTTCACTCATATTTTGACTATGGGAAAACAATGGAATGAAAGTTTGTCACAGAGAACTCAGAAAGACCACAAGAGGTCAGAATGTTTTTAACACTACGGATTCCTATTTGAAATCTCTGGGTTTGTCTTGTGAATCAGGTTTGTACACTGAACAGTGCTAACTTGGTGTGGCATCCCAGGGGAACACTAGAAAGGATCTCAAGGCACCCGAGGGTGTTGTAATGAAAAGTTTGACCAAAATTGATCTGTAAATTAACCAGTAGGAGGCACTGGGGAGACCTGAACATGAAAAATAAATATGCAGGGTAAAATGGAAGTAGTTTGCCTTTAAGCAGGTAACTGTTGGTAGAACTGTGTTCACTAGAGGAAAGTTATCCATGCACATGTTTTGTGGTCAGGGAGCTACAATTGCTAATAAAGGCTCCAAATCTGCTAGCAGATCCATGGAGTCAAGCTCTTCTGCCTGCAGAGAAGAGGCACAGAGACCTACCTCCTCAGATCAACTTTTTTTCTCAAGGCCCTGGCAAGGGTAAGCAATGCCAGTGGGGGCTGTTGTGGGATGGGGAGTGTCCTTATGCAAGTAGCTTGACAACTCTGCCTTTTCCCTTTCAGGGCACTTGATCCTAAATGCAGAGCAGAAGTTTGGCATCATTCTGCACCCCAGTGCAAGGGAAGGGGGAAGCCTAGCCATAAATGGAGAGTTAATAAAATCTACTGAAAATGACTGGCTCATTGTCCCGATTCTAGAGCTATGCAACAAATGTACCGATGGCTTTTACACAGTGTTGCCAGTGGTAACAGAAAATAAAGGCACTGCCAGTGGGATGTGATGGTTGAATTTAATAGCACGCAGAAGTTGGAATAGTGGTTGTACTTATTAGCAATTCTTGTTACACCTGTGGACTTAACTGTAGAGGGTCACTCAATGACTTTTTAAAAACACCATTCTGCCTTGAAGTGCGTGCTATTAAACGTGATCCTTTTAAGCTCCCGCGCATGGCATAGAGTCCTGCCTGCAGGGCGGGACAGGCTGGCACAATAGAGATGTCTGGTTTTCACTGGAGCTGGCAGAAGCTGAGGGAAGCATTCACCTGCAGCCCTCCCCGATAGAGATGTCTCCAGGCAGGTCACATCAGAAAACTGAGGAGCAACAAGTCTCCCTGTGCCTGCTCATGTGCACACACTCAGATTCAAATTATGTGACTTGAGAGCAGTGGGGCAAGCCTGGAGCTTCCTAGCCCCATCCTACAGCTGCGTTGGCTGGGATGGTTGACCCTCTTACGGGCCAAGTGGGGCCCTGTGCCTCCACAGGGTGGGCATCCCCGAGTCGCAGGGAAGGCCTTTCTTGGGTATTCGCAGGTCACAGCAGCCACTTCCCAGCTCTGTTGCCAGTGAGGACCCGAGGCAGGTCACTCCATCCCTGCACGGGGGCCTTGCTGCTCCGGCCTCTGGGGCAGCGGTTCTCCAACTCCCTCGGGGCAGCAGGCACCTCTCACTGGGCCGGGGCAGCCCCTCCACGGCTGTCAGGAGGTGCCAGGGCAGCGCGCAGCCCCTTCAACACGGGTGGGCGGCGGGGCCTGACTTATGCGCTCGGTTGCTACGTGCTTCTCTCCTCACGCCTTCAAACGAGCTGGCGGCGCCCGGCCGCGCCTCAGGGG